GGGGGGGTGCGCGCTCAATAGGCAAGGGGGCTGGGCAGAGCCTCGCAAGAGGCCTTTTCTCCCGGGAGTCAGAAAGGTGCGCCCTCGGAAGAGGAGGAAAAGGTGCGCCCCGAGGGTGCCTGGAGCTGCTGCTGCGCCTGTGCGCTCCGGCGAGCGCGTGGGAGGGTGGGGGTTGGAGAAGGTGGCGCCGCGCAGGACAAGCGCCCTGGCACGCGGAGGCTGGGAGCCCGGCGGGGGTCAACAGGAGGCAGGCTTCTGGGGGGAGGAGGAGGAGGAGGAGGAGACCGAGACCCCCCCCAAGTTTCCCAGGGGGATGCTCTGAGGAGTGGGGAGGGATGTCCCGGGGGTGGAGAGAACTGCCCCTTTGAGGCCTGTGGGGAGGTCTCCAGGTCCCTGAAGGCATGCGCACCTTCCTGCAAACCTAAACGAACCCAGTTTTCCATTCCCTACTTTGCGCAAAGGGTATTTGTGCCTGCGGGAGACCCTTTCCTCCAAGGGGGCGTGCCGCCGCCGCCATCCCAGCCGTCCTCGTTCGGAGGTAGCAGCACCGAGTCCACAGAAACGACCAAGCTCTCTCGTCCTGGGTGGCTTACAGCGCAATCCTAAAGAGCTGCGCCCGCCTGAGCCCACTGGCGTCTATGGATTTAGAAGGCCGTAACTATGTTTAGGATGACACTTCGCACCCTGACAAGGAGGCTTTTACAGCACAGCAGGAACCATCGGTGGTGAATGTGCGATGAAATGGTTGTCTGTCTTCACCGCCTTTCTAGCCTGTGTGTGTGAATGCATGCCTTTGGTCTTGCGTGGCACTGCCCGCTTACTTATCTTTGTGCGGCTGGAGAGAAAGGAAAATTTGGCTTTGATAGGTCAAATTCTGCCATATTGATATGGGCCCAGGGATCCTCCTTGTCTGGCAAGGCACTAGGGTTGCCAACCTCCTGGAATTACAAGTGATCTCCAGAAGTCAAAGATCAGTTCCCCTGGAGAAAGTGGCTGCTGTGGAGGGTGGACTCTGTGGCTCTAAACGCTGCCAGGGTCCCCACCCTCCCCCCCAGGCTCCACCCTTCAAATCTCTAAGAATTTCCCAACCTGACGTTGGCAGCCATATTAGATATTGGTTTGCTAATAATGTTTATTTGGCTTTGTTTTCCTGCCACTGATCCTAACTCTTCTCCCAAGCAGGTGGAATCAATATCATACTCAGGCTTCCCAGTGGAAGCTGGACGCAATGACCCCTTTCCCCTGGAGGAGGATCCTGACAACCCAAGGTAAAACCTTTCTCTGTTTCCCCTTCAGTTATAACCCCACCGGAGCTGTCATCGTACACACATTTAGTTGTACGTAATTAGAGATGGCTAGACAGTGTCATAGATGCAACGAACATGAAATTGAGCCAACTTCAGAGGACGGCGGAAGACAGGAGGGCCTGGCGGGAGCTGGTCCATGGGGTCGCAAAGAGTCGGACTCGACTGTGCGACTGAACAACAACAACAAATTAGTTCAAGGTGCGAATATTGACCTTTAAAGCCCTGTATGGCTTGGGACCAACATACCCCAAGGATCACCTACTCCCATCCTGACCTGAATAGCCCATGGTAGCCTGATCGCGACAGATATTGGAAGCTGAGCAGGGTCGGTCCTGGCTAGTATTTGGACGGAAGACCTCCAAGGAATACCAGAGGCATGACGCTGAGGCAGGCAATGGCAAACCACCTCTGAAATTTCTCTTGCCTTAGAAAAAGTCTAGCTGACCACCTAGTGGTGCATTACACTAAAAACAATAGAACTTCTGGCTGCCAGACACTCTTAGGATCTCCTGGCTATACTACACACACTGCCATACAATAGTAATTATCATTATTGTTATTATTACCTACTCTCATATGAATCTACCCAATCACCGTTGTCCTCTTCAGGGGCCATTTGTTGCGCTCGCCATCGGAGAAAGGGCCTTCTCAGTCGTGACACCCAAACTGAGGAATTCCCCTCCCAAGGAGATCTGCCTGTCCCCTTCATTCATTGTCTTCTGCCGGCCAGTAAAGGCTTACCTGTTTTGTTTGGCGTTCCTTCACTCATGCTCCTTCCTGTTTATGTGGTGTTAATTGCTTTTATAGTATGTATTTTAATGGTTTTGACCTTGGGGACCCTCAGCTGGATGGAAAGATGGCCTTTGTTGTTGTTGTTCAGTCGCACAGTCGAGTCCGACTCTTCGCGACCCCATGGACCAGATCCCGCCAGGCCCTCCTGTCTTCCGCTGTCCTCTGAAGTTTGCTCAATTTCATGTTTGTTGCATCTATGACACTGTCTCACCATCTCATCCTTTGCCGTCCCTGTCTTCTTTGACCTTCGATCTTTCCCAGCATCAGGGTCTTCTCCAGTGAGTGCTCCCTTCTCATTTGGTGGCCAAAGTATTTGAGCTTCAGTTTCATTATCTGGCCTTCCAGGGAACAGTCAGGGTTGATTTCTTTTAGGATGGACTGATTGATCTTCTTGCAGTCCAAGGGACTCTCCAGAGTCTTCTCCAACACCATAGTTCAAAAGAATCTATTCTTCGGCGCTCGGCCTTCCTTATAGTCCAACTCTCGCAGCCATACATGACAACTGGGAATACTGGAAAGATGGCCTAAAATGTTCTAAATAATAGTTGGGAATAGGGGCCCGAGATCTGTGTAACATCTGATGTGAATGTTGCTTTAAGGAATCAGGACTCTGTTATGGGAAGGGGGTTAAAGTTTGTGTGGTTGGTGGCTGCAAGTAACTAAGCTTAAGAGCAAACACTTGCATCCTGGGTTTCCTAGGCTGATGGTTTGTGCACTGAGTCCCTTACAAAGCTGTGCAAGCAAAAACTGAGCAAGCCCCTTTCCCCCCAGAGCTTAAAAGATAGAGTAGACCATGGGGGAGTAACAGGAGGCAGGGAGGGAGAGTCAATGGGGCGCATGCAGTCAGATTCTTAAAGCTTGGTTATAATTGTGGATTTGGAGAGCTGGGAGGCAAAGTCCAAGTAACACCTTTGTTGGAGTTTTTAAAATTGTAATTCAGCAGAGAAAAATAGCTTAGCAATGCCAGAGTAAAATAATTAAGACTCAGAGTTCATGTGTGTTTAAAATAGAAAGTTTTTACTACATTCTACCATAGGGAAAGGGTAACTGGGATGAAAATAACAACAGAGCTAAACAGCTACATCTTTACTCTACAAAGGCTAGACTAGAAGAGCTAGCAATGGCTTCTCTTTCTTCTTCTTCAGAACAGAACACAAAGATGGGAAGAGGAGCCATAAAATGCTAAAATACTTTGACACTTTGCTTCCAATGAAACTCCTAGATCAGGGATCTTTTTCCCGGGCTTGTAGTCCTAAACTACCATTGGCTAAATGAAACATGTGATTTCCTGTGAGCAACACAAATATACATTTAACCGCATATATACTGAAGTGTTTTTAACATGTAACACCCAACAACCTTTCATCAGGGCCACCCACATTGACATGAAACACCGGGCAGGCTTTCCAGCTCATCAGAACTCGGCATCAGACCGGATGTTGCAAAAATTAAAGAACGAAGGAAGGGGGGAAAGCAGGCTTTCCAGGTCAAGATCTTAAGACCCCGTCTTGCCAGCCTTTGGTATGAGATGCTGATAGGCTCCCGGTTTTATTTGTGTGACTGTTTCCATTCTGGGATGAAGAAGCAAACAATGGAGAATCATCTTAAGGCTAGGTAGAGAAAAGCGGGGCTTGTAGAGGACACGAAGGCAGAGAGGTTGGCAGCTTGTGTCTGTTGATGGTAGTATTCCTCCTCCTGTGGGTAAGCTCTAACCCTGAGCCTTGGCGGGAAGAGTATCTTTTTCAAAAAGAGGTGGAAGAGTTTGGCCCTGGCATCAGACCCGTACCCAGGATTTTTTTGTTCCCCTGGGGTATTTACATTTTTAAGGGGGGCAGTTGAATTATAGTGAGTTAAATTAATCTGAATGCCTGTCTTTAAAGGGGGAGGCACCAAGCCTGTTTCTAGCCCTTCCTTTCAAGGCACAGGGCAGCAAGCGCGTCAGTTCCTAGGGAAAAAAACAGCTCAGAGGGCTGAGATTTGAGTTCCACAGGGCAAGAAAGATTAGAAGAGTACCTAATCTCCAACAATCCCCCTTTCTGCTAGCCCAGTATCACCTATGTCATGGTTAAAAAATAAGGTCTCTGGCATGGCTATTTGTGGGGCAGGGCTTTTAATTAAGGGGGCAGGGCCCCGAGACGCCCCACCGTAGCGACAGGCCTGCCTGGAATCCTGGCTACGTAGCCCTTGGGGTCTGGGACTTAAGGTTTGCCTTGATGTAAACAGGATTCTCTCAGCTTGGTGCATTGTCGCTCCTCCTGGAGCGAAAATTCTCTTGTGATGCTCGATGGTTGGCTAACCGGGATTCCTTCAGCTGAGGGTCAGACCAGATATAAGATGGCGTGGGGAAGGAGGCCCTTGTGAACGTATGCATCAGTTAGGTTGTGCTACGAAGGGGGACATTATCCATTCCAGGATGAGCATCTGGGGTAGCCATAAAGCACGTGAGCTGAGCAGGAAGGTGACCAGTGACAGCATGGGGAGGGGGGAGGCAAATAATGAGCTCCCTGAGACGTTTTTAAAAGGGCTGTTTTAGCTTCTCTTTAAATGCATCGCTGGGATGGGAGGGCAGCCTGGTAGAGCCCATCAGATCTCATAATCTAAGCAGAATCGAAACTTGGGGGGCCACCAAGGAAGAGTCTGCAGAGGCAGGCAATGGCAGCCCACATCTGCATCTTCACTGTCTTGAAAGGAGGAGGAGGAGGAGATTGGATTTTTACCCCGCCCTTCACTCGGAGTCTCAGAGCAGCTTACGGTCTCCTTTCCCGTTCCCTCCCCTCCCCCACAACAGGCACCCTGCGAGGTAGGTGGGGCTGAGAGAGCTCTTTCGAGGACTGCTCTTGAGAGAACAGCTCTGAGAGAACTTGTGACTGACCCAAGGTCACACCAGCTGCAGGAATCAAACTCAGTCCTCCCAGATTAGAGTCAGCGCTCTTAACCACTACACCAGACCACTAGAAAGGCCCTGGCTGGGGTCACCGTAAGTTGGTTCCAACTTGATGGCTTTTACATATGTAACGCATCACTTCTTGATGTTGATGCAACACCAAAAAAAGAGAAAAGAAATGGAGGTGAGTGTCAGGGTCAGATGGGACGGAGTCTGATTAGACCAGCTTCCCTGGACCGAAGGGTGAAATAGCTAGGACAGAGGCAGGCAACCGGGCCATCATGAGCAAAGAATGGGTTGCCTCCAATAAGCAATCAGCAGCAGTGAAGTATGTTGAAGGAGCAGAACACTCTGAGAGGCAAGCAGGAGGCATAGTCAAAGGAGGCAGAAGTTCAGGACTGAGAATCCAAGATAGAGCCAGAGCTTATATAGCCCCAGCCCTGCCCTGATTGGCTCCTTTGGTCACCTGCTTCTGCTAGGTGTGCCAAGGCTGCAGTTCCTGGAGCGGCTACTTGGGGAATGGTGCTGAGGTTCTCTTCAGGCTCAGTCTTGCCTTTGGCTGCGGCGTGGCCACTGCAGCTGAGTCCCATGATGTCTTCCAGCCAGTGCTTTGAAAACATTGTGTGCATCTGGGCTACTGGTGTGTGTGTGTGTGGGTGTGTTCATTCAGTTCACAAGGACAGGAAATTCTGGGTATCAGTTTCATAGTCACTTGCAAAAAGGTCCGTAGGGTTATTTGGCCAGCCCTTCTTTAAAAAGGAAAAGTAGGCATATATGTGTGAGGGAAATGAGGGGTGCAGGAACCTTTTCATGCACTCCCATCTCCAATTGTTCATTTTGGGAGGGAGAGAAGCTGGCTTCCCAATTGCAGAGGGAGGGAGGGAGAGAGAGAGAGAGAGAGAGAATGATTCTAAACCAAAACTCAGTTTATTCCATTGCACACTCCTAAGTCAGAAAACATTTCTGGCATTTCAATATTCAACGTAGACTGTTTCAACACAACCCTAACACATAAAGAGTGCACTATAAAGGCTATCCATGGTCGCCCTGTCAAGACCCATCACAGAAGGGTGGCCGACCAGAACAACAAGGAACAAAACTAAATCCAGACATTAAGTACCCTTCTCCAACCATAGGGGCTAATGTCACCGTCAGTCAAGTCTGTGACAAGCATTTGACATACATCTGCTGTATGCAACAAAGTCAGCCCCTTTCTTTCTATCTCTGGGGTCAGGAAGATCAAGAAAAGCTGGGTTAAGCTAGAGAGTCAAGGCTGCCTAAGAGAGCCCCAGGAAGATAGGCTCAGATTATCTATTTAGAATTTGATAATGTATAAAATTCCAAAAGGCAAAAGTCACGTAAGGCAGAAGTCATGTACGGTGTTGTTGCTGTTATTTGTTAGCTTTATTAATCTCCCCATCCCGGCTTATCCTGAAGGCCACAGCATTTAGCAGAGTCCTGAAGCCTCCTGGGAGACAGAGCCACAGATCAGTTACAGAGGCTGATTGTTACAGAAATTAAAGTATCATAGGTTTAGCAAAGGTGTAGCAGAGGTCTGAGACTCAATCCGACCTTAATTCTGCAACAGTATGTGGCCTGTGTGATTACTCTGTGCCAATGGCTTGTTCTTTAGGTTCCCGGTGGCTGAGCCGCACTTCTCCTGGATGGAAGCGGGGGATGAGCTGCAGCTGCCAGACACGGGGGAGAGGCAGGAGCTGACCGTTGTCCAAGCAGGTGAGGAAGGCTGGGTTATTTATTCATTTATTTATTATTAAAGGTAAAGGTTCCCTTGCTTGAAAGCCAGTCGAATCCGACTCTAGGGTTGCGGTGCTCATCTCCGTTTCAAAGCCGAAGAGCCAGCGCTGTCCGAAGACATTTCGTGGTCATGTGGCCGGCATGACTAAACACCAAGGCGCACGGAACGCTGTTACCTTCCCACCAAAGTGGTCCCTATTTATCTACTTGCAATTTCTTGCTTTCGAACTGCTAGGTTGGCAGGAGCTGGAACTAGAGACGGGAGCTCACTCTGTCATGCGGCAACTCGGGTCTTGAACTGCTGAATTACTGACCTTCCACAGCCTGCAGTTCAGCGTCTTAACCACTTGAGCCACCACAGCTCCTTATTTATTTTTACTTCAGTTTATATCCTGCCCTTCCTGTGGACAGGCTCAGGGCAGTTAACAACAATGAATAATACAGTCTAAAACACTACAGTCAAATAATGCAATAAAACCAGTTAAAACATTCAAAACGGGCAGTGCGATGCATTTCATTCCAGTTTCTACAGCCAGAAAAATAACTGGGCCAACACCGAGCCACGATGGTCTCATGTAGCAGCCGTAGGGAGGCCAGCTGGTAGATGCCCGCTACCTCGGCCCAAGGCCCGTCAGAACAGCTCCTTTTTACAGGCCCTGCGAAACTGTCGCAGGTCTCGCAGGGCCCTGATCTCAGTCGGAAGTATGCTTGTCAGGGCAAATCTGCTAACCCTCTGTTGTGAGCTGGGTATGTTGTTATAGTGTCGCTAGGTCTCTTAAACGTCCATTTTGTTGCCGCCTCTTTGCTTCCTTGATAGTTTAGGACTGGATATCATTGACATGCCGATGAGACCCTGGTGTCCTAGTTCTGGGTTGCTGGCATCATTGCAGTGTGGTGTAGGGATTCAAGAGTTCCAGTGGGACCAGGGTATCTTATGTTTGAATCCCTACTGCTGTGAAATGTCTTACAGATATGTCACGTCAGAACCAGTGTTCCCTCTAAGCTGAGTTAGTGTGAGCTAGCTCACAGTTTTTTAGCCTCTAGCTCACACATTTTTGTCTCAGCTCAGGAAGGAGGGTTCCAGAGCAAACTAATTTACACAGTAGCCAAATCTCTCGCTCACAATTTTAATGCCAGGAGCTCACAAAGTAGAATTTTTGCTTACAAGACTCCGGCAGCTTAGAGGGAACATTGAACGTCAGACAAGCACTTCCGCGTCTGGGTTAACTGCAATAGCACTAACTTGTCTGGGGTGTTGAGTTTGTGGTGGGGTGTGTATGTGTGAGGTGTGCACATAAAGTGAACACAGCATCCACATCTCCCTGCCTCCCAGTCACGAGTCTCAGTCCGGGAGCCTGTCCTCAGCCCTGTGTGTATTTCGTACAGAAGCACTTCTGCACAAAGAAGATTGTGCAGCTTGTCTGAGTGCTGTTTAAAGACATGGGCATATATTTGTTTGTAGCAATGGAGCAGGGCTTACTTTAACAAACCGAAGGCTTCTGTAAGTCATACTTAGCCCATTCATTTTGCCTCCGCACGTCCCATAAGTCATACCCATTTTTCCTTGCCTATTGTAACCAGCGTTCCCTCTAAGCTGTAGAGTCTTGTGAGCGAAAATTCTACTTTGTGAGCTACTAGCATTAAAGTTGTGAGCAAGCGATTTGGCTACTGCATAAATTAGTTTGCTCCGGAGCCACATCCTTCCTGAACTGAGACAAAAATGTGTGAGCCGGAGGCTAAAAAACTGTGAGCTAGCTCACACTGACTCAGCTTAGAGGGAACACTGATTGTAACCTCATCTGGATAGGCCAAGGTAGCCCAAACTCGTCAGATCTCAGAAGCTAAGCAGGGTTGGCCCTGGCCAGCATTTGGACGGGAGACCTCCAAAGAATACCAGGGTGGTGACGCAGAGGCAGGCCATGGCAAACCACCTCGGAACATCTCTTGCCTTGAAAGCCCCACCAGGGGGCGCCATAAGTTAGCTGTGTGACTTGACGGCACTTTCCACCACCATTTTATCCTCACATGGCTGAGTATTCTGGAAGTTCTTAGATCAGCCGCAGCCTTGTCAATTAGGCCACTGGTATTGTCCCCGTTTTGCAAACTGGGGGGGTCCAGAGGATACTATTTTATTTGAAGACATTTTCTTTTAAGATCAAGGTTGTTTACAAATAAATGCGATAAGCATACAATAAACCAAGCAATAAACAGTACAAAAACCCGACAAATACAAATCTTCCAGGCCAAAGAGTACAAACTCCAAGTCCAATGTTCCCTCTAAGCTGTGGAGTCTTGTGAGCAAAAAATCTACTTTGTGAGCTACTGGCCTTAAAGTTCTGAGCGAGCGATCGGGCTGCTGCATAAATTAGTTTGCTCTGGAGCCATCCTTCCTGAGCGAAGACAAAACTGTGAGCTGGAGGCTAAAAAACTGTGAGCTCGCTCACACTAACTCAGCTTAGAGGGAACACTGACTCCAACATTAGTATGCAGCGTCCGTCTCTTCCCAACTGATGGCGCAACCAGACGTTAGCAGTAAGAGGAAGGCAACTGACTCATGGGTGAATATAGGAATGTTGCCTTCGTATTGTCAGTTAGCCATCCCTGGACTATACCAAGTCTACAGGGTGAAGCACACAAATTAACTCAATCTGATTTCCATCGGTTTATGATATGATTACTTATCCTACCTGTTTTATTTTTCGAACCAAGCACCCTGGAAAGTACCCTTCTCTCACATCTTCTGTTACTACTAAGTGCAGGTGTCCCCGTAAATAAGAGTTACCATAGCTTCCTCCAAGTCTACTAACTGATCAAGACTAACCTGAAATTCATCGTGTTATCCTAAGCAGAGTTACACTCTTCTAAGTCCATGCAGAGTTACACTCTTCTAAGTCTATTGATGTAGAAGGACTTAGAAGGCTATAACTATGCTTGGGACAGCACTGCTGTTCTCCCCTGCTCGATATCATGGTATCAGATATGATTTGTGCCAATCACCCAGTGGGGGGATTTAATACTTGGTTTTTCTGAATAGCTTATTGTCCTTTCTTCCAGCAGGCTCTGACTCACCAAGTGAGGAGGGGGAAGAGGAGGAAGTGGGGGAGGATGTAGACGATGAAGAGGCCGCCTTAGCAGAGAGCTATGATTGGTCCCGTGTGTCATCGGAGGAGAAGAACACCGAATTTGTTGCCCCACAGGGTCCGGACCCTCGTCCGTTCCGTTGCTCAGAATGCGGTAAGGGATTTGCCCTAAGTTCGAACTTGGTGAAGCATCAGCGGATTCACACAGGGGAGCGCCCGTACCGGTGCCCCGAATGCGGCCGTGGGTTCAGCTGGAGCTCATCGCTAGCGGAGCACCTCAAGGCGCACGGAGGGCGCCGACCCCACGCGTGTGGCGAGTGCGGGAAGCGCTTTGCCCGTGGCTCGACACTGGCTGAGCATCAGCGGGTGCACACGGGAGAGAAACCCTTCCGGTGCCACCAGTGTGAGGCCCGTTTCTCACAGAGTTCCACCCTGGCGCACCACCTGCGCACACACTCGGGCGAACGCCCCCACGCCTGCCCCGACTGCGGAAAGCGCTTTGGACGCAAGTCCACTCTCGTCACACACCAGCGGACTCACACCGGCGAGAAGCCTTACTGCTGCAGGGAGTGCGGCCGCTGCTTCAGCGTCAGCTCTGACCTCGCAAAGCATGTGCGCAACCACTGCGCTAACAGGGGTGCTTGGGGAAACAGTGCGGCAGACTTGCACCCCTCTGCTCCACTTCCGGCGGCGCATCAGCAGGTTGTCAGAACTTCCCCCGAGGGCTCGGAACTCGCTGGGCATCATCAGGATCCCACAGATGGAGAGGGAGAAGAAACATTTGTGTGCCCTGAGTGCGGGGAGGGATTCAGCCAGTGTCCTGCCCTCGCTGCCCATCGGAGGACTCATTCGATCGAAGTCTCTGACAACTGCCCTCAACGCGGAGAAACCTTCCCCGATAAGTCGGAACTGGAGGTCCATCTGGCAGGCCACGGTGCAGAAGAGAAGCCCCACAAATGCCCGGACTGTCACGCTTGCTTCTCTGAAAGCTCCGCTCTCAAGATACACCAGCGAGTACACCGCGGAGAGGTATCCCACTACTGCCACCTATGCGGAAAGAACTTCCCCAGCAGTTCTGACTTGGAGCGGCACCAAGGCAGCCACAGTGGGCCGGGGGAGCCCTTGGAGAGTTTTAGGACTGGCTTCGCTGAGACGGCTGCTGTAATCACAGCCCCATTGAGTGAGGAGTCTCACGACTGCCTCGAGTGTGGGCAAGTGTTTCCTGAGAGTGAAGAGCTGACCCTTCACCGGTTGAGCCACCTTGACAAGGCCAGCGAGGAAGAGAAGCCATACAAATGCTCCGTCTGCGGTGCTTGTTTCTCCGAGAGCACGGATCTCGTGATGCACAAGCTGGGCCACAGGGCAGGCAAAAGGGCCCGCCGGGATGGCGAAACGTTCCCCGCTAACTCCGAGCTTGTGGCTCTCCCGGCAGAAGCTGCGTTGGACAAGCCGTACTCTTGCACAGCCTGTGGCAAGACCTTTGCCCTCTTCGCCACGTTGGCAGCACACGAGCGCATCCACATGTCGGACGATGCCGCCTACCGCTGCCCGACGTGCGGCGAACGCTTTCCCGACAGCGGCAAGCTCGGGAGGCACCAAAGACGCCACTTGGGTGAAGAGCGGCCGTTCCGGTGCCCACTGTGCGGCAAGGGCTTCGTGCTCCTTTCGGGGCTGCGGCAGCATCAACGGGACCCTCCGGCCCGCTGCCCTCAGTGTGGGGAGAGCTTTGTGTGGCGCTGCCGGCTGACCGAACACCGACGCAGCTGCCACCCGGCGGAACGCCCCTACAAATGCCCAGAGTGCGGCAAGGGCTTTGCCCAGAGTTCAAAGCTCCTGCGGCATCAGGTGACCCACACCGGCGAGAAGCCATTCAAGTGCCCCGAATGCGGCAAAATCTTCAGCCAGAGCTCCAACCTGGCCGAACACCGCCGCACACATGCGCCCGGCAAGGCCCACCGCTGTGCCGTCTGTGGCAAGGCTTTTGCCCTGGGCTCCTACTTAGCGAAGCATCAAGCCACCCACACAGGCGCCCGCCCTTTCCGGTGCACCGAGTGCGGCAAGGGCTTCCGGCAAAGCTCCAACCTCATCCAGCACCAGCGGACGCACACGGGAGAGAGACCCTACGTCTGCGCCTCCTGCGGCAAAACTTTCACCCAGAACTCACATCTGGTCAAGCACCTGCGCGTTCACACGGCTGAAAGGCCTTACCGCTGCCCAGTCTGCGGCAAGAGCTTCCGGCAGCGGGGTAACCTGGCTGAACATCAGCACCAGCACGCCGGCACCCGCCCGTACGTCTGTGGCGCTTGTGGGAAATCCTTCCGGTGGAGTTCAGCTTTCTCCAAACACCAGCGCACCCACCTTACTCCCTGACATGTGGTTTTTAGACTCTGACTCTATGGTGGGGGTGGTGGGGAGCAGAAGGTTTCTCCAATGTAGTTGGCCTTTTGCAAACACCAAAAAACCTTTGCTTCCTCTGTCGCGATTACATTTGGCCAAACAAGCAATCCTTCTTGTGGAGTCTGGCCATCTTTGACTTATCCCAGAAAGTCCTTCCAATGAAACTCTGTGTTCTTTAGGCACCAGTGGACTTGAGTGGTATCCAGTCAAAGCAGTGGCCTCTGGGCCCTAAATATGACCCTTCAACCTAATCTTGGGGACTGTCCTTACATGTGGACCCTGAGGCCTGATTTCCATGAAAATGGGGGATTTGTTTTGTGGTTCTCATTAGCATTGACATATCCATCTCCTAAGACCCTTCCAAAGTCTGTTGGCTCGTAATCTGTTAGTTCTGTCTCTGCTGCCCTTCCTCCTAATTCCCGCCTTTTCTAGACCTTATAGCATATTAGGTTGCTAGAATTTTCCCCAACATCGAGCCTCACTGATTTCTGTCTAGTTCCTGCAACACTCCCTGAATCACCTCAGATCATTGATTCTAAATTTTAGTAGGCTACAATGAAGTTCAGGTCAAATAACCTGAATGAGGCCCCTTGCCTTTTGTTTCTGAGCCTTAAGGCCTAACCAACGAGCCCCTCCAACTCAGCTTCATCCCTGAGCCACTGTTGTTCCTCAGACAAAAGGCAGGCCCCTCCATTCTGTTCTCTGGAGGTATGGTGGAAATGGGAGTAGACAACGTTCACAGAAATTGGATACAGAGGTCTTCAGTTCTGAGTCAGCACCCAGCAGCCAGTCCAAGGCGGTACACCACCATCTCAAGTACACCTCTGATCCTTGGGGGTAGTTTTGAAAGTGAGTCATGTTGGGAAAATTTAAAGGTCTATGCATTTATCAAATGCACTTATATTCTTATGTTCCTTCAGGGATTTTGGAAGCATACTTTGTTGTCCCATTGTATGGGATAGTGAGGTATGTTGGGTGTTGGTTTTTGCTCAGGGCTATCCAGTACGGTTCATGACTCAGTCAGGATTTGAACCTAGGATAGCATTCAGAAATTGATGTAAGCCAACATGTGCACTTCAGCTGATCTATGCACAATCTCAGTTTGCTGTCGGGCCTGTGCATTCTTTTTCCTTTTTGTATGGGGATCCTGTTGACGAATGCAGGCACAGGGGTATACTGGAGTTAGTTTCCTCCCCAGACCCCAGGACTTTATGCTGCTCAGACAGAAAAGGGTATGGAGCTGGTTGGAACAGTGAAGCCCTACCTCCTGTTTCATGGAAATCCAGTTCAGCAACTCTGCTAGCTCTTGGCATTCACTACACACTCTTAAGTATGTCTCCTTTCCCGTAAGGACTAGAGACTGGCCCCTTTTTGTAAAATGGAAGCTTTAGCCACTATCACACTCTGCAGCTTTCCCACGTCCCTGTGGAATTGCACCCTACATGACCCGAGCCAGTGTGGTGCAGGAGGTAGAGCATGTGGCTGGAACTGGGGAGGCCCGAGTTCAAATCCTGACTCTGCCGTGAAGCTCACTGGGGAAATCTCGTGCCTGTCTCTCTCAGTTTAACCTACCTCACAAGATAAAATGTACAGAATGGGGGCAGACATGTATGCAGAGCGCTGCCCCGAACTCCTTAGACGAAGGGTGGAAAAGAACATAGCAAATTAATGCTGCCACGGGCTCCTGTGACGAGTGGTTCTGATTGCAGGATGAGGAGGGGTTTGAACCTGGAACCCAACCACCCCTGTTTACCGTGGCTGTAACTCTTTGAGCACTACAAAGAAATCAAGACATTTCTT